TTTTTTTTTTTTTTCCTTCGTAAAACATTTCTTTCTTTCTTTTTTTTTTTTTTTAATTTCCTCCACGTGGAAAAATATTCATAAATATTCTCCACGAAACGACGTAAAACGTTCTACGAAACGGCGGTACGGGTCGATCACCTGTTTCTGCCTCTTCGTTGTAACTGGTTTCTACTACACGGGCCTATCGATCGGTCGTAGACATTCTAGAAACCGAGCTACCATTTTCGCAGCCCATTGTTGGAAGCCACGGGGACTCCGGGCTTTTTGAAAACCTCATTAGCATATTGCGAACGAAACGTGTATTATTATCCTGTTCTGTCATCGCACGCGATTATTACGACCGTGCAATAAAATCACGCGAAACGGTAACTAATTAAAACTCCCCCCCTCCCTTTATATTCGACGGAAAGTAGAAATGTATTAAAATGACTTACTGACATCATTGTTGCATCCCCCGCATCGTTATCGATCGCGAGAGCATTAACGTATATACACACGGGTATATACGATAAACGAATATCACGACTTCTCGTCGAACCGTCTATTAAAAGCGGCCAGAATTTACCCGTATTTCATTGAGAGTCTTTTAAGCTGATTAAAAGTATCAATTTATCTAATTGAAACGAAGCTACAAAGGCGAACCACCACCAAAGGATATATGAATAAATTTATGAGATTTCCAAGCCTTCGTACTCGAAAGCTTGTTTTCATAAAGAAAGAAGGAAGGAAGAAGATTCATGCGATATACGTATAAGGGATCGGCATCGTGGAAAACGAATTCTTTTCAAAGAAAGAAATTTTTCTTGTCGTTGGTACGATCGAACCAAACGATGCAATCTAGATAAAAGATGCAACAGCGGAAACTCAAAGTCCTGTTTGAAAGCTTCTCCAGCCAAACAAATTCATCTTTATCGTATCGTTCGTTTGATCGTTTGTCATCGAAAAAGAAAAAAAACGATACTCCCTCGTAGACGACGAGAAGTATTCATTAATTCATCCACGTTAATGTGATTTAAATAATAAAATGGGACTTATTATTAAGTCGAGGAGGGGGAATTCACGTTCACCCGCGATCGTTTACGTGGGAAAATGTTTATCGAACCAGAGATACTCGGAGGATTACGAAAACAATAACCGTGTTAAGCCTTGCTAATCTGGAGCGTGGCGAGATGAAAGGAAAAGGCGAACGACTGCCTCTTTCGCGCCCGACTACACCGAATCCTAATCCCATTCTCGCCTAACGATCAAATTAATTTTCCTATAGTCGGCTAACCGTGAAACGTTCGATCCTCCCCTCCCTCCGGAACCTTCATCATTTAACGTCATTACGTCTCTTTTCGTTTGGCAACTGTGAATATAAATTTGGAATAAATTACGGATCGATTATATAAATGGGAAAAAATGTGTTATAAAAAAATTTCCATCTTTCCAAGAAGAAAATATTCATTTAACGTCATTACGTTTCTTTTCCAGATAATAATGAAGCGGGATTTGGATGAATTATGGATCGATTACATCCATGGGAAAAAATTCGAAAATTCATTTCTTGTCGGAGATGATATTCGTATAAAATAATTTCTGCCCTTTCAAAAAAAAATGTTATTCACTCAGTTGCTAAACGAAAAGAGACTTAATGACAGTTAAATAATCAACGTTCTCTTTTGGAGGGGGAGGATTGAACGTTTCACGATTAATCATTTAACCGAATGAATAGAATTTGGATGAATTA